TTTCCCCAGAACTTTTGCAGTCCAGCAACAAGCAAGCCTGTAAGCTGATGCCCCCCAAATGCTTCTTCTCCCTCCCCAGGGTGGGAAGAGCGGACCCTCCCAAATGCCATTCCCAGAGGTTGCCACACCTCCCTGCAGCCCCTCAGCAGAATCCAGGCATCTGGCTCTCTAACAGGCTGGTCGAAGGAAGAACGGGCTGCCAGCCATCCCTGTGGGGCTATGGGCTCACCTTCCTCGCTGAGGGAGTCAGGCAAGAGGAGCCAGGTGGTCTCACCTGCTCAGCCAAAAAGCAGCTCTGCTCCACAGAGAACCCCGAGCGTAGCCAGCGGGGGGGGGGGGCAAACGCGGCCCCCGAGAGTGAGAAGGCTCTCCAGTGCCCCCACCCTCTTTTTATCTTGCCTCCTTCCTATTAGGCTGCACAAGATGCCCAGAGGCTGCACAATGTCCTCTGAAGAGACTCCTGTCTTTGTGGGATACAGTTCTGGGGAGGCCTGAACATCACCCCCCCCAAGCAGGTTTAAGGGAGCCTAAACCTAGAGGCACCCCCAGGAGGGGCATAGCCTGCGCGCTCGGCTGTTGCCAGCCACCCTTACCCAGCAGGGCCTGGAAAAGCTCACTCTGAAATACACGGACCACTTTCTCGACTGAGGCTCGCAGAGGCTGTTCCGCCGGGGACTGCAGAATCCCCCGATAGCGGGCCAGGATTGCCACAGCTCGCTGGGTGTCTGCAAGGCAAGAGCAAAGCTTGAGGGAGGCCGGGGCCTGTATCCACCAAGCTCCCCCTCCCCAGGACACAGGGCTCCTCTCCGCACAGGCAGGTTCCTGCAGCTGGCAGACGGCAGTTCTTGTCTCTCCGTTTTCTAGCATGGGTCAGGATCCAGGATCCACATTCACACAATCTAGGCAAGGAGGCAAGAAATCTCCTTTGGAGTGAGCCCAAGTTCTCGCAGAGATGGAAGTTGCTGCCAAGCTTCAGCTGTGCTTCCAGTCCCGTTTTGTCACCCCCTCACCCAAGGACTACCCCTGCGTACTCTGCCTGCAACCCCAGACCTACGAGACCCCCAGCAATCCCAGGGGCCTGTAAATGGACCCCCAAACAGTTCAGTAGAATATCCAGCCAGGTGTTCTGTTTCAAGCTCTTGGCTCAGGACCGCCTTCAGACTCAAGGTTGGAAGGCATTCCAGGGCAGAAGGAAAAGGTAAGAGGGTTTTCAAGAGAAAAGTGCCATTCCTAAGGACTAGAAGCACAACTTTTCTACAGCCAAGAAGGTTCTAAGTGGGGCCTTCCTCCCCAGGGGGATCTCACCTGGGAGGACAAAGGCCCGGCTGCAGACCCTCCTCCAGCTGGCCCGATCTCAGGGGAGGGGATGGAAAAGGAGCAAAGATCCACACCTGTGGCGTCTCCCTGGAGATTCGGTCGCCAGGAGCCCCTCAGGTCCGACTCCCCTCCGAGACCCCTCCCAAAGCTCCAGTTGCTGCCCGGAAAACTTTTAATGCCTCCGGAACTCCTGCTGGGAAGTCCCCCTCCCCTGTCCCCCCCCACCCGGAAAAGAGGAGAAAGTTCCTGCACAGCCGGTCCGAGTCCCGCGTCCGGAAAGGCCGCTGCTGCTGGGGCCCCCTAAGGGGGGGGGAACTCGGCGGCCTTGAAGCGCCTTCGGAGCAGCCCCGGATCGCGCTGGTCCCGCGGGCGGCGGCGGCAGCCCCTCGGCCCCCGCCCCCTCCCCTCGGCCCCCGCCCCTTACCCGTCCGGGTGCTCATCGAGCCGGGCTGCGCGTCCCCGGAGGAAGGCGGGCGAGGGTTGGGCCGGGCCGGGCCGCCCTGGCCGGAGGAAGGGCGGGAAGTGCGGCGCCGAAGGGGCCGCCTCCAACTTTCTGGGCGGGCGGACTCGCCTCTGGCCGACCGGGAAGCGGCCGCAGGAAGCGGTTTCCAGCCGCTCGGCAGCCGGAGCTCCCCCTCTCGATCCTGAGGACTAGAAACGCCGCACTCCGGCCGCGGGCGACAACAGCCCCGGGAGGGTTTCGACCCCCAGGACCGCCCGGAGCTCCGGAGGAGGCGACACGCCGGGAGACGAGGCGGCTGGTCTAAACTGCGCCCCCTCGTGCGAGCATCTCGGCCCCTCTTGGGAGGGTCGCCCAAACTTTTCCCTTGGGCGACTTCGGCTTCCTTCAGGTCTCCCGGCGGCGGCTCGAGCCCTCGGCCCCGGCCCCGCCCCTGGACTCAACAGCTGGCTTGCCAGCATTCCTCACGTGTCTTAGCGCGGGCGGAGACACGGGTTGTGGCTCTCCGTGAGAATGGCTTTTAGAGGGAAGCTGCGTAACTGAAGGGCCGGTTTCTGGCTCCCAGGCGCACCGTTTTCATAACTGAATGTTGTACGAGAGCGCCCGGCTCTCGTCACTTAGAAAGTTTGGCATGGCGGCAGATTTTTCTTCCTCCGCTTCCTCTCAACTCCTCGGCTGAGCTTGGACTCAACTTTCTGGCTGTTTGCGGTTGAGAAGAACCGGTGTCTGCCAAGGGCGGAGGTGCAGTAGCTGCTCTAGGAATTTATGCTCTCTCGTATTCAGAGGAACCCCTAATTGCCAGCTGCACCTGGTGAAAAGATGCCCCCCTCAAATTGGGACTATTTAGTCACCCCCAGCGAAAAGGGGACTCCTTCCCAGGAAATATTCTGCTGAGAGGAGAGATGCTTACATGATGGGGACGCCTCTGGGGGGCTCTTTTGCCCACATTTATCCCCCCCATCACATTTCTCAAACGTTGAGGTGGAAGGCTTGAAACTCATGTGATACAAGATGGGGGGGGAATCTTCTACCTGTAAGCTTCAGCAGTGAGAAATAGCCCTCCCCATCGCTCCAGTTTCCTTTAGAGTACCATAAAAAGACAGAAACCTTTTTTCTGCTGGTCAGTCTAGAACAGAGGTTCCCAACCTTTTCGGCACCAGCGACCGGTTCCATGGAGAGAGGTTTTTCCGCGGACCAGAGTGTGTGTGATTTTATGTGCTGCCTGCATCTCGCGGATGGGGCTTTGCTTGTGCAGACCGGTTGCTGGCATGCCGTGGCCCGGTACTGGTCCATGGACCAGGGGTTGGGGACCCCTGGTCTAGAACACGGGTCTCCACCCTTGGCAATTTTATAGACTTGTGGACTTCAATTCCCAGAATTCCCCAGCCAGCATAGTCCACAAGTCTCCAAGTTGCCAGGTTTGGAGACCCTGGTGCCCGATGAGCAGCAGCAGGCGCCCCTGCCCCCCACTGTGCTGTGCTGAACTGGCAGGACTTCTGGAGGGAGATTGGCCCAGCAGCCGGGCCTGGGAGAAGAGGGGCAGCAGCCAATCATGCAGCCAGTTAGACAGGTGGGAGGGGAAAGGACTCTGTTTCGAAGGGTTATGATGGTTACGTCAATTAACCCAGTTTTCTGGGCTACTAGAAAACAAATTAGCTAACCACAGGGTTTGTCTATCATATGTTATAATGAAACAAGCTTCAGGTACAACTTAGGCTTTGAAGAATCAAACTGTGACTTAAGACACTAGTCCTGGTGATTTGGGTGAAGCAGTCTGGGGCTTTCCCGACAGCAATTGACCAGAAACCCAGTTCAACCTCATCCTGTCCATGATCAGAGTTTTCTGTCCAGGAGAAGAGAAAGTGGCCTGGGACACCAGCTCCATCAGAAGTCTCCTATTCATTGTGGGAGGCTGCCCAAGTCCCCGTTTCAAAACAGCAGAAGGCCTTTCCCCCCAAAGGGGCTCTTGACGGCCAGCCCACGCTCGGCCTCTGGGGCTGCCAGGAAGGGCTGAGTCACTGGACACAGCCACAGATTCTCCCCACGGCAGCCCTGCTCTCTTCTCTAGGAATAAACACCCGCTCATTCCTTGCAGAAGCAGGAAGGAATCACATGTGGGGTGCAGAAGAGGCCTGTTCGTTCCTTCAGAGCCCCCCTCCCCCCAAATTAAACCACTCGAGTCCTACATGCTACTTCGGGGGTTCTGCTGCAGCGCCCAAAGGGCCATGAGTCCCCCCAAGACACAGAGGGACTCACTTAGCTGCCCTCCCCAACGAGGGGCTACCCGAGATAAAAGAAATCAGGCCAGGCTCTTTGTCAAACATGTATATTTATAGCAAAAATAGGCTTTTCTCTCTTCCCCACACAATGGTTTGTTCCCACCCCCCAAAACATTTACACAGTAAACAAGTCAGCTGCTGCCACATGTCCTGCACCAGGTCCCTCCCCCTTCCCAGTCTCCTTTGCCGGTTGCCCCCTTGTTAACCACAGCCCCCCTCCTGTCGCAGAGTTATTCCGCCATCTGCCAGGTGGAGTGCCCAGTATCCAAACTCACTCCTTGGATCAAGAGAAGTGGGACACCTCCCCCAAATAGCCAAAGGAGGGGGAAATGCCAGGAGAAAAGCCAAGGCAGGCTGGGTATCTGCACTGTGTGGAGGGGAAGCGCAATCTGAAGGGGGGGTGTCAGTCAAGGGCCACAGCATGGAAGGCGGCTGCGAGAGAGGGCAGCACATTTGCAAGAGGGGGGGGGACTTTGGATATGAGGACGGAAGCAGGATAAGAGCCCTGTCTGGCGGGGGGGGGGATCAAATTTGGCTTCCGAGGACCATTTGGATGAAAGGTAGGGGGTGGGCTGTCACTAGAAGAAGTGTTGGGAGCCTTCCTTCCCGTTGCCCCCCCACCCCCAGTGCAAGATGAGGCCAGCAGAAAGTGCCCTCTTCTGTCCAGAAACCCCAGTCCAAGATGGCAGCCCCCTTCCCAGCCCAAGGATAGCTGGGTGTACTCTATGAGCAGAAGAATGGCACGAGACGAGGGAGCCCCCTCCCCAATACTGTAACGGAGACTAAACATCATCCCTAGAGTTGGCTGGGAAAGAAAGAGGAAGACGGAAGCCACGTCCCTGTGGCTCCCTTCTGTCCACGAGACTCACGGCCTAGGGATGGGCAGGAGCACCCCCAGCTGCCCTCCAGCCCTGGGGCTTCTGCTGCAGGCCTGGTGTTGCCAGGCCCGGCTTTTCACATCTTGAAGGGAAAGGAGAGGGTATCAAGTAAACATGGGGAGGGGCCACTGCCAGAGCACAGCCAGCCAAGTCCAGGTGGCCCCCGTGGCCTAAGAGACCATGTAGTGCGTGATGGCACGGAGGGCATAGAGCAGCTCTGCCTGCAGCCGGGCCTCCAGGATCAGCAGATTCACATGGACCTGCAAGAGCAAAGAGGAGATTCGAGCCCAGCCTCAGACACTGGAGACCCCCCACCACCCGAGGGTCCGGACTGAGAAGCTCCAGAATCCCACCATGACTTGGCTGAGTTGGGGACGGGCGGGCAGCATCAGCACACAGCCGGGGGTGGAGCAAAATGTACATTCAAACTATTTTTTAAAAATGGTCTGGTCAGAATCTTTCAAGATGGTGCTGCTGCTGGAAACCGTGTCCGGCAGCATCAGCACAAAGCCCGAGGCAGCCCTGGTGAATATTCCACCACCGCTCCCCAGTCCGGACCTTGTGCCAAGCCATCCATGCTGCCAACGACAGCCACATAACTGTGCCTTGCACAAAAAAGTATTCTGTTCCGCCTCTGCTGAATGTCCCCGCATCAAAACTGACTGGATAATTCTGTGTTCCAGCCCAGCCCAGGGCTTCCGCTTCTCTCTCTTCTGCTCCACACACACAACCCACCTTTTCACTGTGCTTGAACTGTTTCCAGAAGCGCTCAAACATCTGGGGATCCATCTTCTCTGGAGAACAAGTCACAGTTTTGATGTACAGCTTGAGGATCCGTTCCAGGAGATGGTTGACCTCTGCATAGTCATAATCATCGTATCTGGAAGGGGAAACGGGAAACAATCTGGATTTAGCACCAAAGGAGACCCCCAATTCATCTTGAACAAGGCTAGTTGGTAATAGGTCTTGACAGACCAGGAGTTCTCAGGCCAATTTTTAAAAGGTAATAGCAAAATGTTTACAAAGACCAGAGAGAGAACTCTATCCAAGCCCCCCGTCTCCATTAAGCCGCCCAACAGTTTATCCTGTAAACCCAACATTCCTTCCTGGAGTAAGCAAATTGCGGAAAGGTTCAGCTGCGCTTGGTTTGGCCCTGCAAGGGGGTCCCGGAAGGGGGGGAGGAGGAGGAGCACCTGATGCCAAACATGCAGTGGACGTAGTTCCAGATGCCCCGCTTGAAGGTGGCGTGCTCACAGCCCTGCCGCTTGGCCATCGAGCAGCTGTGAAGACTGTCGACCTTACGGAACTTTTCATCCAGCAAATGCCCAATGTCGGAATACAACCGATTCACCAGCGAGAAGCCATGGTCTTCCCAGGAATAATCCTGCCCGGATCAGAAAGAGGGTGAGCATTAAAGGGGGCGAGGTCAGCAGCCCCCCAAGGCAAAGGGGAGGCAGAAGGCCAGCCAGGATCCTGGGGACTGCCAGGTTTGTTCTACCTGCACACGGAAGATCTGGGGCTGGTCCTCACTGCACTGTGCAAACTCCTGGTAGCCAAAGCTGGGATCCAGGACATAGCAGGAAAGGTCTGCGGCCCCCAAGAACTCCCCATCGAAGCCTAGAAGACAGACCCACTCAGCAAAGGGGCTTTCCCAGAAAGGAGGCAGGGAGGGAGGGGGGCCTACACGCAAGCAGGAGGGGAGATGGCGTCCCAGCTGCTCTCAAGGGCCTCCACCTGACCCTCGGTGCTGGGACTCAGTGAGCTTCCCAACCCTACCAGGAGGCCCCAGGACGCCCTGGGCAAGGCCCTCCACCGCCTCTCCTCCAGGGAGGGTGGCAGGCGGCCTTACCTTCTTCCCGCTGGGCAGGCAGCCGCAGCTCCTCCCGAGCCTCACTGCCCACCTGCAGCCGGTGGACACGCTCCCGAAGAGACTCCAGCTCCACGCAGGAATCCAAGGACTGCAGAGGAGGAGGAACGCGACTGAGGGGTCCTTCCTCTGGGTCTAGAAAGGGCACCCCATGCCCTGCCACTGGGGCCTGGTACCCTATACCCGTGCCCACCATGCCCCCCCTTTCAGGCCCACCAAGAAGCCGAGGCACGCACCCGTTTGCGGTTCAGGTGCAGCAGCTCCTGGCTGCAGCCGTTGCCCACGTCACAGAAGCAGACGCTCCCCGGGAGGCCCAGCTTCAGGGAACCCCGTCCCTCTGGGCCGAGGTCCTGCTCACAGCCACAGCCGAAAGCGAAGCTGGCCAGGGCGTGGTAGTGGGCGAGAAGCACAACTGCGTGGACCAGCTCGGCCAGTGACCAGCTCTGCTCACTGATCTTCAGCAGCTTCTGCAAGAGGTGGGCCGAAAAGAAGCAAGCTGTGACTCCCCCCCACAGCGCCCCTCTCTCTCCATCAGCCTTTATACTTGCTTCACGGCGCAAGTGGCCCCAGGCAGGAGCGCCAGTTGCCAAAGAGCCCCAGGCGAGGGGCAGCTCTTCCTGGGGGGAACCAACCAATCAGAAGCCAGGAAGGAATGCTGGCTTCCAAAACCACGGAGGTGCATCTCGCTGGGATAAAGCTTCAGCCTAGGCCTAGTCCTGCTCCCCCCGCCCCGGCCCAAGGAAGACCCTCAGCTGCATCTCCTGAGGGGCCATGGGCTGAGATGCAGAAGGACACCAGGAACCTCTGAGCTCCTGCTGGTGGACCACTGCCCGGGGGGGGGGGGGCTTCAGGTTGAAGGTAATCAAGTGGGTGGAAACTCTGCAACTGCAGCACCCCTTACGCCCCCCTACCGAAGGACTTATTCCGCAGGCTTATTTTGATGGGGGGGGGGAGGAAGGACCAGTTCAGGCATTCTTAAAGCATCTGCTGATCCCAAGGAAGCCGTTTGGGATGGAAGGACCTGAGGTCTGGGAGAGGGTCCTTTGCAGGTCACGGATGGGGTGGGAGAGAGAGGGGTGCTACTTATGCTCCTCCCACTCATCAGCTACACCTTGGGGGGGCAGGCACGGTGGGCCCAGCATCCAAACTGTCACAGAGAATGCTGCGCCCTCCCTTCCCAGGGCCCCAGGTGTGCCCTTCCCCCGTCCGGTCTGCTACCTCAATGTGCTCCTTGCAAACCAGCCAGGGCCGGTGGGCCAAGACCTTGTTGATCTCACTGAGCCGGCGGAGTTTGGGGGGTATGTAGTCCAGCCCTCTCAGCCACAGGGGGTCGCCGCCCACCCGCAGGAACTGCAGCACATGGAGATTCACTAAGTACCGACATCGATGCCGGGCAGCGGCCTGCAAGAGAGACACGAGGCACTGAGATCAGTGGGGAAGGCCCCCCAGGCCAGAGACCTTGCTCAGCACGGTCCCATCCTGCCCCTGGGAGTCAGAAGCCCACCCAGTGCCCCAACCTAGAGAATCAGTCCACCTCCTCCCGATCCCTTGCCTGGCATAGTCTCCATCAGCGCCCACCCCTTCTGCCTTTGCGTGTGGGGGGACAAGACTCTGTAGGTTATCTTCAAGGGCCCCGCAGTGGACAAGGGCCCGTCTCTCCCCTTGAGATGGAGGGATCAGAGTCGACACCATTTCACAAACCAGCTCCAGCTCCTAAACAGCCCTTGTTCGGTTTTGAGTGGCAAGGGGGTCAAGAAGGGGGGGGGAGCTCAGCAGAGAAGCAAGCAGATGAAATGGCAAGCAGGCACCCTCAGCCCCCCAAGCCCAGCAGGTTCTGGCGAGGCTCCTGCTGCTCGCCGGGATGGGCCCCGAGACCCCGAGGCGCAGGGCTCTCTGGCCGGGCTCTCACCATGATGGCGATGAAGTGGCGGCAGTCGAAGGGCAGCGGCCCGTCCATGTGCAGCAGGTAATGCTGGAGGCGGAGGAAGCTGTCCAGGTAGTGTGGGTGGTAGCCCATCTGCTGGGCGATGGCCTCGATCCGCCCCCTGCTGGCCAAGGCCTTCACGAAGAGCAGCTGGGGGGGCCTCTCCTTGTCGCTGGTGCTCATCTTGGTCAGCTGGACAGGGAAGGGCAGAAAGAGCAGAGACGTGGGGCAAAGGCCCGCCAGACATTGTGCAATCGGCGAGGGGGGGGGCATGCAGCTGGGGAGGGCTAGAAGAAGAGCCCCGGGCAATTCTCTGCAATTCGCAAAGTCCCTGTCCTTGAGTACCAAAAGCACGGGAGGCCGCCCAAGGGCACGGAAGAAACACCTGGCTGGGCAGAGCAGGGTGGGGGCTGCGCCTTTGTGCTCAAGGCATGTTTTTGGCCAGAAAATCCTGGGGAGGGAGTCACATCTGGGCATGCAACCGATACACGTCAGGCATTGCAGTAAGTTCTCATGCCTGCTTTGGTGAGAGACATGCAGCCCCCCACCTGAATTTTAAAATCCCAGGTAAGCCTCTGTCACCAGAGGTAAATTTCCCCAGTCATGGTCTCTGCACTCTTTGCATGATGGAAGCTTCTCCCTGTCCTGCCTTCACCCCCCACCCTCCACAGGGATTTTTTTTAGAGCCCACCCTCAAGACATATCCAGAGCAAATGTTGCTGGCCCTTAACGGCTCCTTTCTGAAATCTGCAGCTGAATCCCCTTCCCCAGGGGGGCCACAGAGGCAGGCAGGCGGGCAGGGCAGGGCCTGCCTGACAGAAATCCTCTCCCCTGGCGACCAGCCTCTTCCCCACGAGGAAAGCAAGGGGGCTCCTGGGAGCACAGCTGGCTCCTGGAAGGAGGGAGCAAGACAGAGAAAGCAAGAGGTCTCTAGGCTCCACACCCCCCATCTTTCTAGCAAAGGGCCCTTCCAGGCAGGGGCCCGGCAGAGAGCCCCCAGCCCAAGAAACAGCCTGACTCAGCCTGCACACCAGTGGAGGAGAAGAGCAAGCCTCCTCCAGGCCCAGCGCAACCTCCAGGGTGGCTTCATCAAGAGCCTCCGGGATCCACCCAGGATCCCCCAAAGATGCAGGGACCATCCCAGGGACCAACTGGCTGGGGGGAGGGGGAGATGGGGTGGAAAATTCCTCCCCTGCCACAGGCCAACATAGCTGCCTTTCCAGGAACACCCCAGAGCTGAAATGAAAGCAGCCTCAGAAAAGGGGAGGTGGAACCCCAAGAAGCATCCCCAGAGCTGAGGATCCCCACCAGACCTGCCAAGGGACCTGGCCAGTGTCCGGCCTCTGCAAAAAACAAAGGAGGACAGGGGAGGCAGTGGGGAAATCCCATTCCCAGGCCCACTCCCCAAGCAAAAGCAGAGGCCCCATTGTAGTGCCAGTCTGAAGACCGAGAGACAAGGGGGGCTCCACCACTGACAAGCATCCTGCCCCCCCCCTTAAGGAAATCTTCAGGAGCTCCCCAGAGCCTCTCTCCTCCTTTCAGGATGGGCATCACAAACATTTTGGAAGAGGCCCAAGAGACAGATTTGGGAGGACAGACCCTGCTTTCTACCCACCTCTGGAACTGACACTGTTGGGGGGGGGGGCTGAACCAGAGAGCCGCATCCCCCAACAGCCCCATCCCCCGGAGGCCGCAGGGGGAGGGAGACAAAGGCAGGAGGAGCAAAACAAAGGAAGGGGTCCGGGCCCTCGAGGCAGCAGCAAATTGGGACAACGCACGCGGGGGGGGGGGGACAGCTTTTGCTGAAGCAGCCCAGCTCCCAGTGAAAGCGACGGCTTGACCCCCTCCCCAAAACGGGAAGGAGCGCCCCTCCGCCAGTCTAATCGGAGAGAACTGGAGGAACACGCCCCCTCGCCCACGGAGGAGCGGCGGCGGCGGCGGCGGCAGCAACAGCTGGATGGGTTCGGTCCCGCTTCCTCCGCGGTCCCGGTCCATTGTCTCTCCCGGCCGGTCCCAGTTGCGGCCGCCAGAGAGCTGCTGCGCCCCCTGCCGGCGCGACTGCCGAACGGCAAGAGGAGAACGAGAAAAACAAGTTTGATTGGCAGCGCGGGGGGGGGGGCAGGTCGGTCCAGCGGCGGTTCGGGCTGGGAGCGCTCGCATCCCCGCCTCCGCCGCCCGGGCAGGACGACCCGGGGCCGGGGAGAAGGCGAGCGGCGCCGCAGGGAGGGAGATGCGGGCAAGGTTACCTCTGCCGCTGCGGGCACCCATCGCCTCTGCCCGCCCCCCGGCCGGAGCCCCCTGGGCGCTGCAGGGCTGCCGCGGACGGGTCCGCGGGGGGGAACGGGGGCCCCCTCGCCGGGGCTCCGCTGCAGGGGGAGCCCGGTCGCCCCGCTCGGGGCCGGCTCCCTTACCTGCAGCCTCTGGCACGGCTTTCCGCGGGGGGGCTCCGCGCTCGGGGGGCAGAGGATCATTTTCGCCGGCCCACCGGCCGGGGCTGCCGCCGCCGGACTTGCAGCCGCCACCGACGGGAGGCTGGAGGCGCGGACAGCCCAGCCGGAGTCGGGGCGCGAGGGGGCGTGCCCACAGCCCGGCGCCGTTCATACACCGCAGCGGGGGCGGGGCCGGCCGGCCTGCTGGCCAATCGCAGGCGGCGGGCGGGCCCGGCGGCCGGCGGAGGGCGAGGCTTTGTAGTGCCCAGTGGAAAATTCCCTGCCCGTCAAGCGCCCGGGCCCCGCCCCTGAGAGCAAAGGGGCGTGGCCACGGATCCAGCGTGGTGTCCCTTGACAGCTCTTAAAGGAGCCGCGTCCTGTTTTCGCGCGGAGCCCGCGGAGGTCGGTCCGGCTGAAAGAAGGCTCGCATGAAGCCCCCTAGAATTTTGCAGAAAACTGTTCGGATTCTTTGGCCAGCGGCTGCCTTCCGAGGTCAGGCGTGAAACATCCAGTTGCTTATGGCTTACAGCGTAGATCGGAAAGTTGATACGGCGCAGCCGGTTGGTAAAAGGACTCCTCAGTCCCCCATTTCTGGACTTCAGTCTGGGAAGCGACTCTACATATCCATTCAGTCTTTATCTGAAGCGCCTTATTCCTTTATCGGGAATCACCCAGTTATCAGCGTGAGCGCCGGTCTGACAAGCCGACCCGGCATCTGCTCGTGCCCAGCCGGGCTTTGCTAAAAGGTGTCAAGCAGTAGTTCGCCTGTGCCATGGCTCTGGTGCAAAGCAGGGCACCCCAATACAAGTCTCTTTTCACACACACACGCACACACGCCGCAGTTCTTTAGCGGCTTTTCTGGCTATGCAAGATTTGTGCAAGGATTAAGGCAGCTTCCTCACCGTTTTATGCCAGAGCAGTGAACAGAGCAGGGGACCCCTAAGCGTTTTCCTGCCCCTGGGTACCCTTGGAATGAACGCCGGAGGTGCCTCCCCAGGACAACTCCAAGCACTCTAGCGATGTCTTGAGCTCCACACGCAGGGAAGCCCCCCAAAGGGGAGCTCCGGTGTTTGATATGTTCAAAGGTACTTTCCATCTAGATTTTTTTAATGTACCTCCAAGGGTTCTTCCTGCCCTCTGGGGGTGCCCTCTTCCACCTCTACTTTTCCTGGCTTTGGACTTCCAGACCTGGGGTCAGGTGCAAAGGTAGGCGAGAGACAAACACCCGTCAGGTGCACCTCTGGCTTTGCCAAGTTTCAAGGGGCTACCCAGAGCTCATCACTCCTAGCTGTGGAGGCTGGGGCCGGTGCAGGAGGCATTCCCCTTGGCCCTCTGCAGCGCTGCCAAAGCAGCCGGGCTACCCGGGGGCATCCCTCAAGGCAAGAAGCCAGCAGCTCGCCCTCCCCCCCCCGTTTCTGGAGCCGGGGCCGGCAAATCCCGTTTCTGCTGCAGCTTCTCTTCAGAACCTCCAATCAGGAGCCTCCCTGGTGACATCAGCCTCGAAAGGACCTCATCACCATCATCACCCGTCCCGAATGTGAAACAGACCGGCAGACAATGCAGCTGGAAGCCACCCCAGCTCCTCGGCGGGGCATCGGCTTCGGAGGGAAGGTGGGAAGCGGGCTGGGGAGTCAGGGCCAGAGGCACTTTTATTGGGGCGCAAAGTCACTCCCATGGGTGCAGCAGAGGGCCTGCTGAGGGGAAGGGGCTGGAGCTCCCCCGGGATCTCTTTCCAGGGTCAGCGGTGCTTTTCCTTCTCCTTCCGGATGGCCTCCAGTCTCGCCTTGGTGGCGGCGGCCGTTTTGCGTGGCAAGCCCTCCTCGTCTAGACCGCTGGCCATGCTCCCTCCGGGCTTCCCAGAGCTTTTTCCCTGAAGGGGGAGGCAGCACGGATCACTGGGGCTTCTAGTAAGGCGGGGGGGGGGGACGGACCGCCCACCGGCCAGCAGCAGCAATGGGGGCAGCGAGGTGCCCAGAGCTCCCTGCCTGCTGTTCGGCAGCGCAGAGGAAGGAAGGAAGGAAAGCAGAGGGAGGCTGAGTCCTGGACCCATCATGAAAGGGGGTCCTGGGGGTCTGGCTGAGAACGAGAGGGGAGCCTTACCACCACCTGATTGGCCATGTAGGAGAGGAGAGCTTCCATGGTTGGGGGCTTCTTCCCATCCTGGTTCTTGAGCATCTTCAGGCGGCTTTTTTCAAGAAACTCACACTGGTTGCGAAGAGAATCTAAGGGGGAGGAGAGGCTCTGTGGTTCTGCTGGCATTGCCAGGGGAGGCAGAGGTGACCTGCCTGCCAGGCAGGTCATTCTGATCCTCCATGATTCAGGAGGGCTGGGAAGAGAGGAAGGAGGCCAAGGGGGATGGCATCGCTCCCACTTACCACCTTCACTTACCCACTCCAAGGTCTCTGTCTAAAACTTCACAGATGCCCCTTGGATCCAGAGCTGTTAGCCAATGTCCTGCCACCTCTTTCCCCCTTCTAGCAACCCCCATGCCAGCCAAGGTGCCAATGTCAGGGGGAGCAGCAGTGCCTCCCCTTTATTTTGGGGGGAAGATCTGTCAGATTCATATTGATCAGACCACCCCCTTCTCTCACACCTGGCAGCTCTCCCCAGTTCTGCCTGCCCACCCAACCACTCCCAAAGGTGTCTCTTGGGAGGAAAAAGCTTCCGGAGACCCCCCCTGTGCCAAGGCTCCCTACCCAGCAAATCCTGCGGAGGAGACTTGATGAGAGGGTGGAAGGCTCGATAGCTATGTTCATTTTTGGTCCCTGCAGTGAAGGAGAAGAAAAGCCCACATTAGGTGCTGTGATCCTAGCAAAGCTTTGGGACATGAGCTGTGGGTGCTTTGGCCTGCAAAATGCCAGGGCACAATGGCTGGATATAAATGCCCAACACTTAGATGGTGCAAGTTGTAATCGGGCACGGTCCAAACATCAGCCCCCAAACTGGCATAAAGCATCTGGCTAGCATGCAGACAGCCCCTTGGGCCCAATTAATGGTCTACTAACAGGGGAAGGAAGAAGAGACCTTTACTGTGGACTTAGGTGGAAACCACCCTAAGACAGGCAGTGGTTGGAAGATTCCACTCAGGTAGTTGCTCAAGTCAAGGCAACAGTGGAGAAGACCCCAGAAAGATATCTGCCCCCCCCCCCAGAAAGAGGGCATCCATCTCCGACTGACTTTCCAAAAGGTTTGGAGCAAAAGCAGGACTGGGACTCTGATGGCTGCCCTCTGGGGTGGGCTGCTCCCTGCACGCACCCACCTGTGGTGCCACGCTCCACTTTGCAAATGTAGTAGGTTCCCCGTGCAGTGAGGAACTTGCTGGCACTGTCTTCTGGGAACTTGACCAGGAAAATCAGCTTCAAGGTCCCATTCTCTTCACACAGGTCAATGGAGTCTGAGAAGAAACTGCAGAAGTTGGCAAGCAGGATTTTCCCCCATCCACCCCACCCCGCCCCAAAGAATGAATGACTTTGCCCCTCATTCATCCTTCCTTAGATCCTTCAGGGCTTCAGCTTCGCAGGAGAAGAGCAGTGTACCTCATCCTAACCTCCAGGTTCACCTGATCATTTTGCCCAGCAGGAGGAGGCCATGCAGCCCCTCCCTTTGTAGGTTTATTCAAGCATTGGATTCAGGAGTAAATTGATGAGCCTGAAGACCTGACCCTTGGGTACCAGGCCAGGATGTTCGGTGAATTGTCACCTCTGAATTATTGTGCTATGGATGTTGTGTGTGTTTCTATTGATTTATTCTCATTACTGATGTATTTTTCAGTTGTTTTTAACACCAACTGTCCAGACAAATTGAGTGAGCAAATGAACAAATGAATGAGGTTGTGTGCATGGAGGCCCCACCTGGCCTTGGGGTGCAGAGCTTTCATCTGACCAGAATCCACATCTCAACACTATTGTTCTAGCAGGCCTGAAATATCACTTCCTCTCCATTTCTGAAGTCATCTTCTTCCAGGCCCACCTCAAAGCCCTGCACTCTTATCCAAAAGCTACGGGCCTTCCTTCCAGAATCCGTGTCTTCCCAATTGGTGGTGGTGACCATTGTCCTTCCAGGCAAGGAGTCAATGCCCTGAGACAATCACCACCCACGAGATTCCTTCAAGGGTTACCTGAACTGCACATGGTGGAGCCACATTCCGGTCCAGCAGACACCAAGCCTGACCACCAGCCATGCTCCCTCCTGACCCACTTCCTTGTCCTTGCCACTCTCCCAATGATGAGGTCTTCCCCTCCCTTGGCCCTGAACAGCCCGGGTCCTTCTCACCTGTCCTGTGCAATCCCACCTTATCACGCAGGTAATGGGTTAGAAGCAAAATGGAGCAATTGATGTTGGCCAGGAACTGCCGGTTGTCTGAAAGGAGAGGAGCTGCGGTCACCGCTGAGCAATGCAATGTTTTCCCGCTGCAGAAGGGTGGCTTCTCCTGCCCTGTCCTGGGGAACATCAGCAGCTCTGGGCCTGACTGGCCACCTGAGCCCCCGTCACAAGGGAGAGAAAGGTTGGAGAGGACAGACACACGACTGGAGAGGGGGAAGGAACGGCGTTTCCATTCTGGCTATTGCCATTCTCCTCAACCCTTCCGAGGTTGCCCGTCGAAGGGAGAGCCTGGACTCCTGCACACTTGGTGCCTGGATGTCGTGCATCCCTGGCCCAGGCTTCCTCGTGCTCTCACCCTTCTGGCATTGGCATCAGGGCCCAGGGAGGGTTTCCCTTGGCTGGATGCATCCAAGATGGAAGAGCCATCATTCAGGGTTGCTTGAACTGACTCGGGCCCCAAAGTTTATTTGTCCATACAATCAGCCTTCTGCCTCCAGTCTTTGGAATAACAAACACATTAATTCTGGATTAATGAGGATTGTGTGCCTGATAAAACACGTTTTTAAAAGGAGCACGAAGTGGGGGTTGCACCCGCCATGACAACACGTCCCTGAGAGCGTCCAGTTTCTGGGAGGAGAGTCAAAGGTTTGGAGGATCTGCTCCTGGCTCTAAGGAGTCCCAAGAGGCCCTGCCTCAGCTTCCCCTCTAGTTGGATAAAGCAGCCCATAGGGCTAGCTCTCCTGCCTGCCTCATGTCCACTCCATGGACCCTCTCGGTCCACCTTTCCTTACCTCCATGCTTGATGATAATGAACATGCCCCAGCTGTCTTTGCCATGGCTGGCAGGTTCTCCAGGGTTGAGCAGCCTTGGAGCTTTTGTGACATGTCATAATGAATGGCTTTGTGAGGCAAGCAGGCAGGCCTGGCACCCTGACCGTGGTTTCCTCAAACATAGCTTGTGGAATCAGCCATAATAGGTCAGTTCCCGCATTGCACTAAACCATCATATGGTTTGGCTGTTTGGTGAGGAGCCCAACCAACCCACTGTAGTTTATAAACCTGGGTTGATGGCCAGGTGTGTTGGCCAATTGTAATTGACTCAATAAATAATAACTAAACAAGCAGTTTAATACCCTCCACAAATCAGGTCAATGAAATGCTGTCTGAGAAAGTCTAAAGCATGTTTAATGAGGACACATTTCAGGACAAGCTTTAGCTTTGAGTGCCCCGTGAATTTTATCAACGGGAATCCTGTAATTAAGAATTTGGTGAGCAGAAGCAGCTAAGTGACCAGGGGCTCTGGATCAAGCTCAGCCATCAAACAAGGACCAGCGTTGCCAGGGGCGGGACACAAGAGGGCCCCGGAAGGCTCAGAGGGAATGAGCGAGGGCCTTTGTATTCCAATACAGGAAACACACCCACTCAGTCAGCAGCAGGAAAGCAGGAGGGGTCAAAGTCAAAGCCGCCTGGGTGGGATACCGTGGCTGAAGAAAAACCCACCACCAGACCCCACCTCCCTGCAGAAGATTACTGGCCCCGTAAGTCATGGGGAAATTTGGGAGGTAGAGGCAGGATGCCCACTGCAGAAGGGGGAAGCTCGGTCAGGGGTCAGCCCAGGCACCTGCAGCGCATTCTTTCCGCGGGGGCAGCTTGTGTCATTCCTTTCCTGACTGAATTCCCTTCCATCCCTTTACAAGCAGCTGGGGGGGGGCTTTGGGGGCCCTGGAGGCAGGGCTCCTCCCTCCACGGGGGCTCCATGTGCAAACTCAGGTGGTGAATGCCGCAGGGCCCGGGCTGGCCTTGGGAGGAGGGTCTGGCAAAGGGTCAGGCAACTCTCCGGTCTTGATTGTGGCCTCATTGCTTGCAGGCAGGCAGTCCCCGCCGGGCAGCAGCTCAGTGATGGAGCAGATGTTTTCATAATGGCTGGGCCTGAAGCTCTCCAGCACGTCTTTGGAGACTCCAGACCATTCCTGGCAAAGAAAGGACAGGTTGGAAAGACACACGTGCCCCCCCCCCAAAGCTAAGACTGAGACCTTCTTCCTTTGTGAACAGCCTGCCTGCACACGAGCAGAGCCAAGCCTGGGCTGCCAAGAGGCCCTGGTAGGGCGCCTTCTCCACGGCATAAAGTAGAAATCACCTGGATTTTTCTAGGACTCTGAAGCTGACTCACATCTCGCAGGCTTTGCCAGACTTACTGAAAAATTGCCTTGATATGCAGTGAAGAGATCCTCAAACTTCCTGCTGGGTTTTGGGATTCTGGGCATCAGGACCACCCACATTCTGTTGGTGAGAAGAGAGGATGGGATCCACAGCTGTTTTTCCTCCAGCTCTGCCTCAGTTAGCCCACTAGACCGAGAGAAGTAATAAGAGGTGGAGGACATGGACATCTCTCTCTCTGTTTGTGGGCCATGCTCTGGGGCAAGATGCCTCAATTTCTCCCCTGTGGGTCCAACCCTGGAGCCCCTTGCCCCAGGCAGAATCAGCCCCCGTCTCCCCTACAGCCCTGCTCACCTCTCCATCCGCAGCAAGACCAAGAGCAGCATCAGCAGAACGAAGAAGGAGCCCAACGGAATCACAACGTCTTTGAGTGAAGAGGGCGGTGAAGTGGGGGACACGTCTTCTGCAAAGGAGGAAGCCAGGTGAGGGTCTCAGACCAGGAACGTCTTCATCTTCACACCTCGCGCCAAAGCAAGCAAATTATCTGCTCCTGGAGTTCCTCTGCCAGAGTGACAGATCAGAAGTTCCCCCACATCATCTGAGGTTTGACAAACGTTTGACTCTCCAACTGACTCTCCAAGACAGTCCGAAATTTCCAAGAGGTGGGACAGCTGGGTCCCAGCAGCACTGGGCCCATGGGAAAGAAAACCCAGCCAGGATTTGTGCATTCCCTATTTGAGTTCAGTTCCCCTGGGAGTGATGCTTCCCTGCAACGGCCTATCAGACAGCCTATCGCCACCGGCCTCTATGCATTCTGTAACAGCCAACAGACACAGGTGGAAGGGACTGAAGTTTTAAAGGATCTCTACAGCCTTTTGTGCTTGGCAGTTCCATCCACACTCCACCCAGCACTGTCTCTTCACCCTGTAAGAAACACACTCAGCTTCCAAGAATTTGACAGAGAAATATCCCTGTCCCTTTAGGAAAGTGGCCAATTTTAGTCTACTAGCTTTTGTCAAAATTAAATCATTTCTTTCCATTAATATAGTTTTACACTTTAAATTTTTAGAATCTGTTAAGCATTAGCCAGCTTTTTGTGCCAGGATTATGCATACCTGATAATTTACTGACAGTTATTATTCCCCTCCTAAATCAATTTCCTAGCTTCTTGTGGACTATCGCATTCACTGCTCTGAGATCTAGTGCACTAGTCCATAAGAACCATCAAGTTTCTTAATAGGTAAAATTGGAATATCATATGGGGACATACAAGATTCCCACAAACCTTCCTCCATGAGCTGATTAATGACTGATTTCAATCCCTTTGTCTCTTCCAAGAGAATATTGTTTCACCCTTACTACTTCCCCAATATTCCTTAAAGTAATTTCAACTGAAGCTATTCTCCCCTATTTCCAATTCCAACTCAGACTTTTGGGTTAGGTTATTTCTCCTCTTCTTTTCTTAGTGGACATAACGCAACCCTTATTTTTCTTTGACCCAATTTAACGTCCACCCCTAGGACAGACTACATATCCCATTTTGCCAAATTTACCCGTGTCTGAGAATTTATCTAGAAATCACACATAATTCCCATTTCCCCATTGCTGGAACATCAAGAGGGGCTTCATTATAGGGAGCGAGGAAGAACGTCCCTCCACTCTGTGGACAAGAAGCTTCTGCCCAAACCTCAAGGAAACCATTTCTTCTTCTTCTCTCAGATCCCACTTTTAAATTTATCAAGGACTCTCCTGTGGTGGGACCCAAATAAATGAGCCCTTGACATCCTCAATCCTCCAACTTCATCAGATTTACCAAGATCTAGTTTCTGTCTCTCTGCTTTCCCAGCTATAGGAGAAGCACTTTTCTTCTCCGGGATTTAAAATTTCCCTAACCATTTCAGTACTTCTACCGAATCCTCTGGGTCCCTCCCTGTGAACTTGCAGCAACGGGTTTTGAATGTCTGCCCATCAACAACTTTCCTTTTAGTTGTTTAACCTTTCCTTTTAGTTGTCACCCTCCCCCCCCCCCCGTGCGTTATTGCCTGCTCTCCAGACTGGGTTCCCCCCCTTCCTGGTTCATCGCCCAGGGCCCCTTCTGGCATGAGGATCAGTCGGAGGAGCCAGATGACCACCAGTGGCAGACGGGACCGTTGAAATCAATGGGACGCATCTTCCCGCCTCCAGGGTGGACGGCCCCAGTCCCCACGGTGACTTTAAATCCTGGCACGAGCTCCCAAATTGTGAGAAACACTCTCAGCTTCCAAGAATTTGACAGAGTCATCAAGTGAAGCAAGCAGTTTATTGAAAAATACGTTCTTGCTAGAGCGGGTGGCTAACAAGATGGCAGACCCCAAATAGGTTTCAGCAGCCTTTCATTCCCTAGGCCTGAAGCGCAAGTCCCTCCCTTGCAATCCCATGTGACCCGGAAGGCCTAGCTCCCCCACGAGAACCCCCTACTTGTGTCCTACCCGTGTTTAAATCTCTCCCCATTTGCTTTGCCCTTCCGAAATTAGTTTCTCTGCGCGGGCAGTTTTGCCTGACACCCAGGTCTGCATAGGCATAAGCAATTAGTTTCATTATTAGATGCAAGCTCTTGTGGTTAGGCTGTCAGCGCAGACAGTTCCTGTTCCTCTAACCCTTTGCTTTTTCTTGTTATTCTAATCTAGGCCACATTCATTTTCCAAGTATTCGCTCTTAAACTGTATTAAACATGGTCAGATGCAAAAACCACTTTGTTATTCCCTACAACCCTGAGCCCTGCTTGGGTGCAGTGAGACCCCCTCGCTTTATCATACTGGCCATCTTTTATCTCGTTTATTATAATTTCTTTGACAGTTGTGAGCTGGCGAGAGTTGTTGAGAATTGGGTAGCCCCTGGCCTGCTCTGCACACCAGCTGGAGGCTGAGATGTGCCTTTAGAGCAGAGATGGGCTTCCCAGCACTGTCCCCAAAGGCAGGCGAGGTGCCCCTGGGCTGGACATTGTTCCTGTTCCCCTTTCTTGGCTTTGGGAGACAGAAAATCCATCCTGCCCGCTCACCTTTTCCCCAAAAGGTAGGGTTGGATTCCTCGCTCCAGAGATCTGTGGTTGCACACTTGTTGTGCAGTTTACTCTTGACATAGAAGGCGTAGTGCTTCTTAGGATCCACACTGGGAATTTGGAACTCCATGCTGTTTACGTGGTATTCCTGGAAAGCAAGACAAATGTTCAATTCCTGCCACGCCTCTAATGGAAGGGAGCCCAGCTCTAGCGCCGAAGCTTGTCCCTAAGATGCCAGAAGGCCAGGGGCCTTTGGCTGCCACAGACTAGGCAGCTTCCCCGCTGGAAGAAGGGACTTTTAACTTTTAACACACACCCTTCCTCAAGCAAGAGGGAGGCTGGGCTCCAAAGTAGACAAGGGCACGGCCGTTCAGCGCCACAAGGCTTCCTTTGGCACTAATTGGTTCATCCCTCCTACCCAGCCCTAATGTGGTTGGTTTCTCGGTGGCCAGACGTGAGCCCGGCCACTAAGCCATCCAGCAGTACAACTTCCCTACCATCCACTGTGTGTCCTTGTTGCTCTTGTATCTGACAGCGTGCTGCAAACAATTGGCATTTTTGTAGGGAGTGTCCCAGGTCAGGAGAAGCTGGTGGTTGCTCAGGTTGTGCAAGGTGAGGTTAAAGGGCTTGCCAGGTCTCACTAAGAGAGAATTCAGATGGAGCCCTGAGGGTACAGGAGCTTGGCCCACCGGCCTCTTCCCCCACAGGCCAAACCGCTTCCCTGTCGGTCACAGCACAGCTCCAGCCCAGACCAGCCGGGCAGAGCAGATCCAGAGGCCAACAGAGCCCATCAGCTCCTTAAGAACCGACACCTTTTCTAAACAATTTAAACTGCATGTTATGGGGAGGGCAGAAATGGCCCACCACAAAATCAACCCCTGAAAAGAAAACAGAGAAATTGAGGGTCATTGTGACCTCCAGCACCAGGGACGGCTGGAGCCCTCGGCCGCCTGGTGAGACAGAAAGGGGGATCGACTGGATGGCGAGCCAGGTGAGGAAATGGCTGGTCCTTAAGGCAGCAAGAGCAACAGGCCGGGTCAGCCCTGAGCCCCACTGGGGAAGCTGGGCCTCTCCGCTCCTTGGAATGCCCCATGCAGGAGCTCCTCCATACCTCGGGTGTTCAGTAGTACGGCTTCGGGGACAACATTCTGCCCCTGACTGTCATTGAGATACATTTTCAAGTAGTTGAAGAGGTAATATTTGCTGAACTGGCATGCCACGTTGAGTCCATCTGTCTGTCTGTATTCCTTGCACTCTGCTGGCTTGCTGAGCTCTTCGAACCTGGGCAGAGAAGGGACAGCTGGATCCTTTTTGATCGGCAGCTTCAGGTTGGAAGTGCAGGGCAAGCGAGGCCAGAGATGCTGGGAGGTCCTCCGGTTGACCCCCCCAGCCCTGCGACTTCATAAGGGTGTCACCGGCCCTGGCCTCCTGCTTGATTTCAGGTAGGCGCTGCTACCTGCTTGAGAATTAGAAGGGGCCCAGGGCCTTTGGCTGGGGCCGACCCTCCCTTAGCAGGAGGAGCGATTCTGTGGGAGGCTGGCTTGTCCTAAGCAGGCCTGGCTCAACAGCGGCATGAATGCCCCAACCCTGGTAAGGGAGGGAGAGCAGGAGGGAGGCCCTTGTGGCAAAGAGGTGAGGGGGGGCTGAAGCCGAGAAAGGGGGGTGCCACCCCAGGGGTGAAAAGGGCAGAGGGCACCTACCAGAAGTAGAAAGAGTAGTTGTGACCCGGCTTCTGCTGGCTGCCCCAGTCGCAGATCACGTAATCTTCATTGTGGCAAATGCAGTCCACTGTGAGAAGAAAGAGCAATGTTGCTCCTCGAGGCTCAGCCGAGGCTCCCTCCCACCCAAGCAGGGCTGAGAACGGATCCTCCTGGAAGGAAGGGAGCCTTGCGAGGCTCCAGAGATCTCAGCCAGCTCCCTTCTGTTCCTGCTCAGACAGCCTCTTCCCCCCTTCTTTGATTTTTATTATCAATTTTCAGAGAAGACCGGTAGGCTCAGCAGTGCCCGCTGGGCCTTCCTTCAGAAGGTCCAGATTCCCCACTTGAGAGAGAAGGTCAAGAAAGTAACCATCCGCCTGGGATGCTAAACGCCTGTCTCCAAAGCTGGCCCTTCTCCCGCCCCACTCCCCGTTTCTTAGCAGTTCCAAGGCCACTATCATTTTCAGGGTGTCGGCGGGACCGATTTAGAGACAAGCAGTTCTACCGCTCTTCCCAAGTGAGCTAAACCAGGGCTTGCTGGCTGAACTGCCACAAAGTGCCACCTGAATGTTTAGCCACAAACCATGGTTTACAGATGACAACAGCCCAACATGCAAAGCCAAGACATACTACAGTTTAATTACAACGTCTCTTTGATCTGATGGGTTTTCCTCCTTCCCTCAAGGAAAGTTCAAGGGGAATTTGGAAAGGGGGACACAAGTTCCAGCACCCCTCACCCCTCCCACACCCCCTACGGAGAGAAGCAGGCAAGGGGGCCCGTACCTTTTGCCTGCGGGCTGCCTGCTGCTTCCCCCCCAGGGGCCACCAGCAGCAGCAGGAGTCCAAGCAGGCTTCCCGGATGGTCCAAGACCCTCATTCTCCAGCATGAGAAAGAGCTGCTGCTCCAGAACCGCCTGTTCTGACTGCACCTCGAAGTGGTGTGTGTGCGTGTGTGTGAGATGAAACTTTATCTGTGGCTGGAGTGCATCACTTCCGCCGCCACCCGTTTCCTGTGGAAAGTTTCTGGCGTGAAATCCCTGGGACTGTTGGCCCCAGGGGGATTTCCAGAGGTGGCTGAAACCATTGGGAGACCCTGCCCCCAACCCAGGAGGCAGAGTCTCCATTAGAGCGCCATCCAGAGCCGGAGACCCTCTGGGGTCTTTCCTTGGAAGGGCTGCAAGTCAGAAGAGTGGCATGGGAGACCCTCGCCCACCCTCCAGACGGCAGGACCACTGCTGGGGGTCTCCTCCTGGAGAACCTCCTGCCCGTTACTTCCCATGGAAGGAGATGCCCTGGGCTTTGCTTTCCGGTGCGGGTGCTGGGTGTCATGGAGCACATCTGGGGAGACCCCAGGAGAGCATCTAGAAGAGAACAAGGCGGACAATGCTGGTGTCTGTGTGTGTGTGGCTCAGCCTCTTCCCTGGCAGCAAGGTCACCAGACTTGGGAACTTTTAGCCGCTTTAGCAAAAAGATCGGGACTTGTTGCGGTGCTTAGCCCGCCCTGGTGCTGGAGGGGCAGCCCTTCTCTCCCCTCCAGCGTCGCACCCCAGAGGATGAACCCATTCCGGGGGCGGGCGGGGCGGGGGCAACCTTGCCCGGGCAGGCCTGCACACTGTGCTGCGCCCCCTTCCTAAATGCACCATCACAACCGGCCAAGTTCACACAAAGGCCGAGGCTCTTGGCTGCCTCGCGGCGCCGCCTCCTCCTCCTCCGGCTCCACGGACTGCGGGGCGCTGCAGTGACCGAGCTCGGCCGGCAGGGGGAGAAGCAGGGCTCTTCTCGGCCGTCTCCGTCCGCCCTCGGCAATTTCCGTGCGCGGCGGCGGCGGCGAGGAGGGAGGGCCCCGGCCGGGCGCGTCATCGCTTCCGACCGCCGCGGCGGTGCTCCGCTTTTTGTCCTCCGCGCCCCCCGCAGCCGCGCGCGATCCATTCCGGCGCCGCCCGGGTCCTACGCCGCCGAGCGCCCCTCGGAAGGCTTCGGCGCGGCCCGCCCGCCCCGACCCCTCGCTCGGCCT